AATTCTGGTATGTGCTAGTTTCTCCAAGGCTGAATTTTACCCATTTAGTAGTTGAAATTTATACATGTAGCTGCTGCCTTCTTGTCCGAATTTTCTGTCAAAACAGGGGAAGAATTGGCAGTGAATTAAATGTGTTTTAAGCTTGATTATGCAGAATTTAGCTTGATTTGGCTGCCATGATTTCTAGAGAGAAATCTCGTGTGTGAGTGTGGTTTTTGCCAAGCCATTTTTCCATTTTTCTATTCCGGGAGTTGGTAGCTTTAAGTGGGTTTTGTTTAATTTGAGTGTAAATTAGCTTGAATTGGATTATTGTGATGTTCTATATGCATAGCCGGGCCTTGGTGCTGTTTTGCCAAGCCCGGTTCCTCCATTTTGTCCGTTGGAAGTTTCCTGTTGAAATGAAGGAGTTTTGGCAGCCTTAAAACATGGGTTTTAAGCTTGCTTAATGTAGAAAATTAGCTTATTATGACTGTTGTGAGATTTTGGAGAGAAACCCCGTGAATTAGCTATGTTTTGCCAATTTTGGAAGTTGAAGGTACCGTTCACGGCACTGTTCACGGGCACTGTTCACACACCGACAGTGAACGATTAACGGGGATTTAAATGTTTAGTTTGTAATATAAGAATATATTTGGAGATGTCCGATTATGTGGAGATTGATAGAAATAGTATCGTGATTAGGGGTAGTGCTAAAGATGATTTCACTGTGAATTTGTGGTAGTGCGGTATTAACTATTGGGTATTTTGATTAGGTTCCTGATCATTTTGTCAGTTTAGCACTGAGATCGAGTTTTCGGTTTTATGCGAGTGAGGTAAGTAAATTATGGTAAAGCCCTTCGATTTTAAAGCATGTTTTAAATTGTTTTTGAGATGGTGGCAAGGTTTAAATTGATTTTATCAGCATTTGAGTGTGATTAAACTGAAATGAAAATTGTGATGATTTTATGAGAATTTTATTGTTTTTTTTTTTGGAATTGAGCATGATTGGAATGAAAATGAGGATTTCATTGTTTTTCTGAAATTGAGCATGATTGGAATGAAAACAAGAATTTCATTGTTTTTCTAGAATTAAGCATGATTGAAATGAAAATGAGAATTTCATTGTTTTTCTGGAATAGAGCATGCTTATTTGGAATTGATTGAACTGCTTTGATGAACTAAGAATTTTGTAAATTCTGAGTTTTTTGTTAAAATCCATGCTCATATGGAAATTTTTCGGTTTATTTCTAAAATTGGAGATTGATTGTGAATTATGGATTTTCTGTAAATTCTGCATGGTTTTGTCTCTGATATAGTCATGATTACTAATGCCCGCTAGTGGGAGATGCAAACGCTAGCACATGTCGACATGTATTTCTGTAGAACTGGTTCATCCTGCCAATGGGATAATACATTGGTAATTACTGACGCCTGCCAGTGGGAGTTTGTTAAACACTGGTACTATTGACGCCTGCCAATGGATGAATACATTGGTAATTACTGACGTCTGCCAGTGGGAGTTTGTAAACACTGGTACCATTATTGACGCCTGCCAGTGGGAGTTTGTTAAACACTGGTACTTCTGTAACCTTGCCAATGGGGTTAAACATTGGTAACTACTATGCCCGCCAATGGGAGGTTTATAAACGCTGGCCATGACTTATAGATGAGACTACTGAATCTGATTTTGCATTAACGGTTTGTTATTGAACATTTTGCTATTGAACTGAATTTGATTCTAATTCTGCATTAACGGTTTACCACTGAACGTTTTATTATGTTAAACTGTTTATCAGGCATGCCAAGATTTTACCCAAGGGCTATCCATATTTACTTACTGAGTTATCTCATAGTTTTTCCTTGTCCACCATTTCAGGAAGCAAAACCGAGGATGGGGAAACTGAGGGAAGTGACGAGGTAGAAGGCTAGCCATTCTAATTGGGTATAAGTTTTAGATTTATCATCCTTTTTATAAGGTAGATTTTATTCTCGAGATTTTGTGATTTGGATAAGTTCCGAGCCTTGTGCACTTGTGGGACCTGCCTCACGAGTACACGGCGTCTGTCGCACCTCGAATTCAGGTTTTGGGGCGTGACAGGCAAAACCTTTTCTCAATAAAGCTTTACCTGAGTTATGTAGCATGATGAATTCTTATGGTATATTTAACATTTTTTTGTTGTGCAAGTTATTCTTCCTCGTACCCATCTATGTGCTTTTGGAATTTGGGATTATTCTATGCTTCTATTTAGGGTTTGTTTTTAGTTTTTTTTTTTTTCTTCTTTTTCACATGGTAATGGTTAGTTTTCATTTGATATTTGCCATATATATCAATGGGTCATAAGGATTAATGTTTAAGGTTTGCTAGAGATTCTAGCTTTGCAAAAGATTAAAGCGGTTCACAGACTAGAAATCTGAATTCAAGTATCATAAATTTTCAAGTTCAAGGAATGGAGGTTTCTTGTGCCATCAAAGACCATAGAATGACTTTTGGCCACTTTTGATTATAATGATATCATTTGATGAATAAGAACTTGTATTCCTCTACAATACCAGTATATATATTAGTGCTTATTTGCCTCATCTATTAAAAATTGGCTAAATTCAATAAATAGTCTATTAACTATGTAATTTATTTTAGTTTGGTTTAGAAACAATTTTTTTTTTCAAAATAATCTTATAAACTATCAATCTTGTTTCAAAATGATCTACTTGACAAACATTCCATCAACTGACTAATGAAATTCTTTCCAGTGGTTGACAAGTTGCCCCTTAAACTTTTGAAAAATGTTAAGTATAGTACATATATTTTTATTTTTTACAACATTTTGTTTTTGAAGTTCAAATTTTTTTGTCAAATATAATAATTAACCAAGATGAAATTTCAATTTTCATTCATTAAGATTCTAATTTTAATTTACAATAATCAATATTATAATTTAAAATTTATAATTTCTAAAAAAAATTAATTTATTATTAAATATTAATATTTTTAATAAATAAACCCTTCCAAAATTTAATTTAATTAA